GCCGCCGCCATTTGGAGCACCGCCGCCACGTTTGGAGCTGCCGCTTCCGCGTTTGGAGCACTGCCGCTGTTTGGAGCACCACCACTATTTGGAGTGCCACCGCTACTCCAAATACAGCGGCAGCTCCAAACACGGGAGCGGCAGCTCCAAATGTGGCGGCGGCACTCCAAACACGGCAGCAGCTCCAAACACGGAAGCGGCAGCTCCAAACGTGGGGGCAGTGCTCCAAATGGCGGCGGCACTCCAAACACGGCGGCAGCTCCAAACACGGAAGCAGCAGCTCCAAATGTGGCAGCGGTGCTCCAAATGGCGGCGGCACTCCAAACATGGAGGCAGCTCCAAACACGGAAGCGGAAGCTCCAAACGTGGCGGCGGCACTCCAAACACGGAAGCGGCAGCTCCAAATGTGGCGGCAGTGCTCCAAATGGCGGCAGCACTCCAAACATGGCTGCAGCTCCAAACACAGAAGTGGCAGCTCCAAACGTGGCGGCGGTGCTCCAAATGGCAGCGGCACTCCAAACACGGCGGCAGCTCCAAACACGGAAGTGGCAGCTCCAAACGTGGCGGCAGAATGGGCAGAAGGGAAAGCAACAGCAGCAGGTGCCAGAGGTCTTGGGTCTGCAGCAAAGGTGTTTGGTGGGAGTAGGGAGCTCACTGCGCTTCGCCGTGATCACCCGTTAGGAGAGGCTGGTGGCGAGGAATTGCTGCCCGTGGGGCGCTCCTAACAGCAAGCCCCCCCACCCTTCCCATTTTGCATGTTTTAAACTAGGCCTAAATTTGGGGGGAGGGGCTTAATTTGATTTTATGCCTAGAAAACATGCTGGGTCTTCCTATTGGTGGAGTCCGTATTGTTGGAGAAACAGGGTATATAACATTCCAGATCATCATATTTCTAAATATTTTACATATATTGTAGTTATGCTGCCAGGAATTCTTGGGTAGTCAGTAGTAAAACTACTTTGATAAGTAAAATGAGAAACAATCAGAATAGAGCAGAAGCAGTTAGCTATTTAATAGTTGGGGATAAATTACAGTACTTAATGTTTAGGAGGCCAAATGTTATAATAATCAACATGATGTCACATCACTACTGGATAGAGGCAGAAATTTCCAGCTATCATTTTCTATAGTTTTATGGATTTTTCAATGTTTTTTTAAAGGTTTGGCTAACTTATGTGGACATTTACACACTTATCTTTTCCATTTCCTGCTGCAAATAATAAGGAATTCTAGTCTTTTGATTTCAAAATAGAATTTCTGAGACCAAGTGCATTCAAGGGCTAGATATTTTATTTGTTCATTTGTTTGTTTATATGCTTCCCATCTCACAGAAATATGAATTTGTGTGATATATAGATATGGCCCCATATCCACACTCTGGGGATGCTGGCTTTTATAGATTTTACTGAAGGATTGGCTCATGCTTTTGGGGTTGTTTTAAATCCTTGCACAATACAGTGTTTCTACAATAATCTACAATAATCACCATGCACAGAATCCCTCTGTTTAAAGGTATCATGTCAAAAGTTAGGGAGAAAATATTGACCAGATTACCTCAGTGAATCATGCCTAACCAATTTTTTAAAAAAAGGCAAAAATATTACCCTGAAATGAAACAGAAAAACCTTCAGAGATTTTTTTTTTTTTTTGGTTAGGCATGCCTTTGTTAGAACAAGCCAAAAGGTCACAAACAACACACAAGCTTTTGAGCTCTCTAGACTCCATTGGGATTGGGAAAGAAGCAAAGACATTCCAACATGACCAGTGAAATTGATTGGACAGCTCATCTGAGAGCACCTCTGAACCAGTGAAGGCACTGGTTATTTACTTCATTTATAATTATATTTCCCAGGAACAAGAGCTGGGTCAGACATTTTCTGCTTCTGGAGGAAAAAGCTGATACCTTCCTTTGACCCCACTTTACATAAATAAGCCCATTGGATCTGTGACAAAAGTCATCTCATCATCAGGCTCAGTAACATTACCACAGAAATGGTAGCTAGCTAGTATTTCTCTTTCAGGGCCCTCACTATTTATCCAGATATAAAGGGGAGCTATTTTTGGGTCAGCACCAAATAGTAAGCCTCCAGATCTTTTAAATTATATATATGGGGACAGCGCTTTCCTATATCTTAGGGAGCAGAATATTTTGGCTCAGTTTCCTTAAAGAGATTGAACATTAAAAACTGGCAATATGAGAGTATTTTAAGGTGGTGATAGGCTAACTTAAAACAACTTGGGAAAGGTTTTTTAATGGAGTGAGCTTAGTTCCCTAATACGTTTATTATTTCTTCTGGTATGCTACCTGAATAAAGGTATAATAATACTTAATAAAAGACCAGCAACATAGTAGTTCACTGGGTTGTCTGAACCAAGCCATTTTGGTTTATCAACCAACTGTTTATGGTTTAGTGCTTGATGAGCCAGACTACTTGTGTTTGATTCTGTGAATCACAGCTTAATATGTGTGGACCTATTTCTGGTATCAATGCATGTTTGGACAGAGGCCCAGTTATTGAGAGGCAATAAAATTTTGCTTTTATCAATCAAAGAAAATCCCAAGAAAGTCCAGTTGCCTTTTGGGAAAAAGCAACTTTGGGCTTTGGATGATTGAGAGTCTCCACAGACAGGGACATTTATGTATTTCAGTTTTTTCCTTTTTAATGCTCAACGGTATTTTCTGAAAACATATAAAACAAAGGAAAATCCCCTAGGATCAGTAAGATTTAAATATAATATTGCACTTAGGACTTTTCCCCACTTCCATCTAATAATGGCACAAACACGATTGGTAACATATTTTTTTTCTGCCCTATCTCTATGAGGATGCATACATCCCATTCCCAACCCATGAGTAAGGTCTTCAGCTGTATAAATAGTAGCTTCTTCTTATTCTGTCAAGATCCTAGAGAAGCTTTAAGGTATAGGCATTGTCACTTATTGCCTTGGAGAGAAATCAGGTGACTGCATGAGCACAGGTAGAATAGGACTCAGCAATGGAGACAATCATTGTTGGGCTGCTGCTGCTGCTGCTGTGTTTTGTTTTGCTCTTTGCTGACTCAGAGACTGTATTTGGACTCAACAACCAGGCAAAACTCTTAGAAATGCAGCTTTAGGCTAAAAGTTACTCCTAGAATACTTTGGAGGGGATATTGGACAGCAAATCATATTGTATGACCACACCAGTAAGTGGAGTCATTGCACACATAAACATAATTACACTCAAAGTATTACTCAGAGTTAAAGTCTCCACTTCAAACACTGAACTAGAAAGAAAGTTCTATTCAAATCAAAAGACTATTCCAAGGGGCACAAGAAGTTAGCAGTAATTATGGAAACAGAAGCCTAAGGAAAATATCTCATTTATTCCTGGGACGTCCTCTTCTCCACTTCCCCATCACTTTGAACCTTTTGCCATAATCAAAATGAAGCACTGTCAAATAAATTAGAATTTACTGGCTTTGAGTGAAAACAATGTTCAGGGAGACACCAGCTTTATAAACTGAAATAGGTTTTTTTGATATATGTATACAGAATTTACATGATTCCTGTCAAAGGTCAGCTGTTCAAAGAAGTATTACTGAAAACCAGTTCTATTCATGAAGTATTCTTTTTTATTTTCAAAGGCCTTTTTATTTTTCCTTGTTTAAGAGCTTATTGCTTGTTTTCAGTTTACAATGAAGCACAAAATGTATTATTATTTCATCCATAGAATCAATATAAGTAGGTGAATCATCTAATCTACAGGAATTGCAACCCTGTCCTAGCCTCAGATACCCACATTCTTGTTTTCTTTTTCAAAACTAAGCATCTGGTCCTTTAGGGTTTGTTGTCACATCCCAAAGCATACAGTAAATTGTATACAAATTATTATGAAGAAAAAGAGCTTTTGAATGTAACTAAAGGCAGTAGAGCAAAACATGAGCTACTCTACTTTTCTTCTAGGAGTTTTACAGCATCCAATCACTCTTCACCGAAGCACAGCTATCTTTTTCAACTACAAAGACTATTTGTTCTACCAACTGGATAAGATTTCAATCTACAAAGAAGAGTATTTGGATTTTACCAAATCCTTTTATTTGTGCTTCTCCAATAAGGGGAAGGGAAGCCTGCATCCCCATACCATTTACCTGGGAGAAAACTCAATTGAAATCAGTGGGATTACAGTACTTTAGCCTCCATCCCAAACAGAGCAGTGCTCATCCTTAAGGCTGAAATACAGTTCCACTCAAAATGTAGGCAAGGATCTTAATGAAAGGTAAGGAAAGGTTAATCTGGTTTGGCAAGGAAGGCACTTGATTTCAGGGGAATCCAGGTAGTGCTCGACTTACAACAATTCATCTCCTGACCATTCAAAGTTACAGCAGCACTGAAAAGAAGTGCTGTTGAAAAAAAGCACTTATGAGCATTTTTCACACTTACGACTGTCCCAGCATCCCCATGGTCATGTGATTTACATTCAGATATTTGAAACCGACTCCCAATTATGACCCTTGCAGCACCCTTGAATCATGTGGTCCTCTTTTGAGCCCTTCTGAAAAGGAAAGTCCATGGGGAAGCCCGATTCACTTAACGACCATGTGATTAATGTTTAAAAACGGCACCGATTCACTTAACAAATGTGGCGAGAAAAGTCGTAACATGGAGCAAATCCACCTTAACCTATTTGTCATGCAATGACATACATTTTGGGTCCATGGGGGTCATAATGGCAAATCGTAAAAAATCTATATCTCTCTTGCCGATTTTGCTAACCTAAATTGCCCGGCAATTCTTTTCAAAGGTGGATCCTATCCAAGCGCAGCCGCGCTCAAAAGAAGGACCGAAGCGGACCCAGTTTAGTTCCTCAGAACAACTTTCCTGGGATTTCACCCAAAAGTTTTCTGGCGCCCACCGCCTATAAAATATACTAAAAAGAACGAGCTCTGGGAACCGGCGGAGATATTTTAGCGTTTGCAGCGGCGCTTTGGAAGGACGCGCCTGACAAGAAAGAGACTTACGAAGAACGGTCGGGGGCGAAGAAATCCACCGCGAAGCCGAAGTAACTGCCGTCGGAGCCCGCGTATACAGTCGGGCTATCCGCGTCCAGGTTGAAGGCGTACCCCGGCGCTACAAGGCGACCGGCGAAGAATAACAGATAGAGCGCGACCATGGTGAGCTCAGGAATGCCCAGCTGATGCCACAGGGAGGGAGTGTGTGCGAGAGAGAGAGTGTGTGTGTGTGTGTGTGTGTGTGAGAGAGAGAGAGAGAGAGAGAGAGAGATTTTCTCCGATTTGATTGCCGCCCGTCTATCCGATGCCCACAGCAGTGGAGGAGAAAAGTGGCCGTGGCAACGCCGAGCAGTGGCGTTGTAGGAGGGTGGGTGGAAACCCACAAGAAGGCGTCCTCAGACAGACTGCATAATACTCCCAGCCAGCCGGGTTCAAGCACTTCCTTTTTTGTTTTCTTCCCTGTTTTCCCCCGGACGGGTACGAGGACGTGGGCGGAGAAATCAGCAACCGCCAGCCTAGCGCGCTCGATCCGCCCCCTTCGTTTTTTTTTTTTCCCAAAGAGAGGAGGAGGAGAGGAGGAGGGGAAAAGAAAGCGAAGGAACGAGAGGCGTCGCGGCCGACGAAAGGGGACGGGCGCCCGCTGGTGCCGGACGGGGGGTGGGGGGGGGGGGGGAGGGCTGGCTGGGGTCACTCTGAGGTGCTTTAAAAAAAAATACGATATATACACTCCGGGAAGAGGTGGTCTTGGACTAGGCTTTGACGTTGGGTGGGGGTGGAGGAAGTCTCCAGGATGGCTTGGCCGAAGAGCTGCGCGCTTTTAAACAATGCTATTAATAATTCGGGGGTGGATGGAGCGTTGCAGATTATGAGCGCGATCTAGGCAGGCGCGGGCCTGGAAAGCGGACATGCCGAATTGGCTGTGATGTAGAGCCCCAGGGTGGTCGGCGTAAAGGTGGTGGTGGGGATGCGGGTGGAGGTGAGGGGACATTGTGCGCTCGATCCTCAGCCAGGCCACCGGTGGGGATAGTTGGTGGACGTCTCGTCGCCCTAGGAAGCGCCTTGGGGATGAGGAGTCTTCTCCAGGGGTTTGCTTATTTCTCCAACCCTGCCCTTTCATGCGACTTCTACGTGCGCAAAGGCATACGCGGGAACGCGAATTGCAAAATTCGCAGAGATATAGTCACTTCTGCCTTCTTAGCGTTCAACGTGGGGAGTTCCTTTTCGCCACCCGACAAGTCGGGTTTAAATCCAGATCTTTGGTAAATTATTAAGGGCTGGGACCCCCCCCCCCCCCAAACGTCTACAATGAAAGGGTGAGTCATAAGAGTGGAGACACTTCCTCGGTGGCTTAAATATTTAAAGAGGCCAGCAAGTGGGGCCAAAAAGGAATCGTGTTTTTTTTAAAGAAGAAAGTTGCTTAGACCTCTATGGAGCCCCAAGAGTGTTTTTTCCAGGTGCTTTAGACTTTTTGGGGTAATTAGTTTTCTGATGAGCTCCCTATTGTGCATGAATCTCCACAGCAAATTATTCTTGTAGTTTGATGAGTTTCTTTTTATGTTTGCTGAAGTCAGTTGAAACTGAAAATACAATTATTAACAAAGCACTCTGTCACACATTGTTTGCTAGGAAACGTGATAATATGTACCAAGAGTCAGAAAGGCCATCCTACTATCTCCAATCCAAGGCCATGCAACTACCGCTTCATGTGCTTCCTATCTTTGGGATAAGTGAGAACATAGGGATTGTTTTAATCATACTTTCCTGAGAACTTAAATAAATCCAATGGAGTTCAATGGAATTTACTTCTCACTCAACATGGGAAACTGCTGTAGTGCAGGCCAGTCATTCCTTTCAATATTGCCTATTTCGACATAGTTTATATATGCAAAGGTCTTTTTTTCCCCTATCAATTACATAAAATTATTTTAATTGGAAATGCCAGGGATTTTCTACTTGCTAAGAATGCTTTGCTTGACCTCTAGACTATATACCTCCCAATTAATTTATTTAGTACTTGGCAATAGGACCATTTCAATTTAAATACTTACCCAACTTGGCATCTTCTATATGTTTTGGATTGTAATTCCAATAATACCCAGTAAAGTAATTTTGGAGATACAGTACAGGAATACAGTGTTTGGAAATAGGGTTTGTAGTGAAATGGTCTGTGGTGGGATTTTGTTGTTATTGCAGATTATTATTTAGCCCTATAAATCTTTGAGCTAGTCACTGGCTAGTTCACACATCATGTTACTTATGTGATTTTATTGGATTAACTATAAACTCCTTTAGCACCATGACAACTATCAGTGTCTCATAGAACAGTGGTAAAGATAAAGTGAGGGGTAGAGTTCAGAGGAACAAGAGAATATCATAACAAATGAAATTATTGATGCTTTTCAGCACTTGAGTGATGGGCACTCAGTTGAGTTTTCAAACAGTATAAATCAGTAGTGTGATGGGGTTGCAAAAAAACAAAAGGAAGATGCAATTTTAGGCTGCATCAACAAAAGTATGCTTTCCAAATCATCTATGGAGATTCTCAGTCATCCAGGTCAGGGTTGTTCCAAAGGTGCTTTTTTTTTTTTTTCAAGAGGCAACTGGACTTCCTGGTTTTTCTTGAAAGAAGTTTTCCTTCTCATCCAAGAAGCTTCTTCAGCTCTGACTAGATGGTAGAGAATGGAAGGATTTATACTCCTTGCAGACAGCTGGTCATTTGCATTCTTTTAGAGTAATTGAGGTCATCTGGAGGTTTATCTGGTCATCAGGGTCACCTGAGTGGTGCAAATTGGTGTGGAGCCTTCTTGGAACTGTTGATTGTGTATAGACTGGAGATAGATTATATCATAAGTCCGTTGAAAGAGGGCTGTTCAATTTTGACATAGATGGCCTCTTTCCAAATCACTGTATCCTTTGGATACACTCCATCTGAAGTATTGTGCACTACACTTTTAAGAAGATTCAGAGAAATTGGAAAGGTTCGGAGAAGGGCAAGAATAGGGATTAGAGAACTAGAGTCATGTGAAGAAAGGCAGAAAAGATGAGCATGTTTAGTTTGGAAAAATATGACTTGGGGCAGCAGTTCCCAACCTTTTGGGCACCAGGGACTAGTTCCATGGAGAGAGGTTTTTCTGTGGACTGGAGGGGGCATGGTTTCACATTCTGCCTGAATCCTGCAAATAGGACTTGTTTGCGAGGACAGGTTGCTGGCATGCCGTGGACGAGTGCCAGTCCATGGACTGGGGGTTGGGGACATATGACAGCATTCTTCAAATTACTTAGAAGTTTTCATAAAGAAAACATATCATTTTTTTTGTTTCTCATTTCAGAGTTCAGAACAAGGAATAATGAAATTGAATCACAGGAAAGCAAGTGTTGATTTCTATTGAATTCTAGAAAAAATAGTCCTAGCAATCAATGCAATGTATTGTTGGAACCCAATTACTGAGTGGAGTGCTTGGCTTCCTTCGCTAGATGTGTGCTAACAATGGTTAGATGGCCCTATGCCTGGCATCATGAAAGCCAGCTGAGTGACCTTGAGCCAGTCACTCTCCCTCAGCCCAATTCACCTCATAGGGTTGTTGTGCGGAAAATAGGGGGAAGGAGACTAAATCACTAGACTATTAAGTGAAGTATGTATGTATATTGCTTTTGTAAATATCAGAAAATGTTATGTACTTAGAAAATCTTAAAATTAAGAGTGGGTTTTCCTGTGCAGCTTTCAATTTCCAATGGCAGCTTCTCTGTTCATATAAATGTCTTACTTCTATTATACATAAAAGCAAAGTTCCATAAGTTGTTTCCATTTATTTGTTTCCATTAAGCCTAAAAGAAAAATCTCTGGCCAACAATGTTGTTAAATGGTCTTGTATTTGCTTAAATTTGCATAAGACTTTGTGAGAAGGCTGTGTTTTGAGTTTACTTTCAGTTTGAACTACTGTAGTTCTTTGTCAAGCAGCTGCTTATTTGTACAATTTGTTTTCTTTCCAAACATTATTTCCCCTATGTTACTTATCTTTTGATACTTGTCACAAGCAGCTGATTTCATTGAAGCAGTTGTTTGCTGAGTCAGTGAAACCACTGCCTACTCATTTCCCACCCAATTTAGTCACCATTATCCTGGAAAAGAATTCATAGAACTGTTACTGTATGGACTCCTTACACATTAAAAATATTCTAGCCATCTGTTTGGGTTTGAGCCAGCCATTCCTGTGTGGGTATGTCTGTCCAGCCTAATATTTTAAAACTCTTAGTCTATATTCCCTGCTCATGCTAAGCAATCACTTGTTTAAATCATGTTTTTATTGACCAAATTACATTTAGTGGGGTTCAAAGGTTAAATAACCAGGTGAAGACATTTTGACTTGACACAATGTATGAAAATAATCACAGTAATAAGAAATCTGTTGAAAATCTCAGAAGAGTTTATTTTTTCCTAATATTTTATATTTTTTCTGCATTTGAAACTACCAAAAATGATCTCTAACCATAAGTCCCAAACCATAAGTCCCAAATAATAGCTTAGTGAATTGTTTGAATCAGGTCTTAAAAGTTACTACATTTAAGTATGGCAAACACTGCTGGTGTAACCTAATGGGACATAACCTAAGTGAAGAGGTTTTGTTTCTAAAAAAGTAAATGCTAAATTGGCTTTTGGCAAAGGAATAGGTAGATATTACTGGTAGTCACCTGAATTACCCTATTGGGGCCAGGGATCCCTTTATTTTTGCCACTATACCCATTGATGAGAATTTGTGTCTTAACAAAGAGTGATCCCAAGGCTGGAGTGGAAAAATTCAGGATTGGTTGGAGTTTATGCAGTTCACCAATCTTCTCTTGCTATTCCTAAAAAAAAAAACCACATTGTGAGAAACCAGAGGTTTTTGGCTACAGTATGTTATTTCATTTAGTGAGTTTGGGTGATGGTGGATAAGAAGCAAACATGTTGCCTTCAGCCTTCAAAGATGTATAAAGCACCAGATGTGTAAAGCACCCCTTCCATTCCTTCCATAGTCATTTTTAGAATATAGTCCCTGCCATAACATGCCAAGCCTGGTGTGTTGCTCAAATTGAGGGAAATTGCACATATCTGTCTAGACAAACAGGACACGATTTATTTCTAGTCCTTTGCTCCTGTGTCTGAATTAACACTAGTCCTGCTCCCTGAGTTTGGGGAATGATTACCTAAATTTGATAGGTAAGTGATTAACAAAATATTAGTAATACCTGTTTCAGTCTGGACAGAGAAAAACAATGTGGTTAAATACAGCTCTTGTAAGCAACCAATTTTATATCAAAGAACCATAGTTGTAAAATCACATTTTTAGTGCAATTTGCTCTAAGGCTAAAAAATGAGTCAATATGGTTGAAATCTCCTTCCTGACAATAAAATGTGCTGAGATACTTATATTTGTTCTTTGTTCTGTTTCCCACTCAACAGAGGCCACCAGAAGTAATAT